CGCAGCTTTGATAAGCTGGTGTCCAAGGGTGCAATTTTCTATAACAATACGGTATCACGTAGAAATACATAATTATTTGTGTTAAATAAAGTTTCTAACCGTTACTAACAAAATAACAAATAATTCGTAAGAATTTAACAACCGTTAACAATTGTTATAACCAGTTTTCTGACATAGGCCTATTTTAGACCATTCATTCATTAGATCTTGGGCTAGCCTGCTCCGTATCTAAGGCATGTTTTTACTTAACCTCCCCTCTTTCTTTTTGCCTTCTCCTAGATACCATTCTAATACATCTTTTGTCGATTTCTTTATATATATATATATATATATATATATATTTAATATATATAGATATAATATTATTTTTTGCAATAAGTAAGAAAGAAAAAAAAGTTTATTTGATTAAAGCACATACACACATAAAATAGATACAAAAATCTCTTTAATCAAAAGTGGGCCCAACTTAGCTTTAAGTTGCTGTCACCAACACTGATTTTCAGTGGACCCATACTATCTTGGAGCGACACCTATACACACTGAACAAAAAAATTAATAATAAAAGTACCAAATAAAAATTACAAACACAAACAAACATAGAACATAAAATATGAGACAATGCAACTAAATTCCTAACCCCGCCGACTGACATTCCAAAAGATAATTTTTACATTTTATTCTGGAAGGCGTAATACGCCTTGGATGTCGCGGATTGGAGGAGGTAATATCACTCATGCAGTGGCGTAACTACACAAATTCTTTTAATGGGACCCTATGAGTAACAATCAGTAAAAAAATTAATAAACTTCGAGATTTTCAGCGTACTCAATTACACGTTGTATATGTCCCAGTAATTACCATAGGACTTCTCTCTTAGGCGAGGGGCCCCACGCTAGCCCAATGCGTATTGGAGATTGTGAAGTCTCCATGAATGTGAATTCATCCATAGAACATAATATCTCTTGGGCCCTCTTGGGTCGGGGGCCCGTGGCATTTAGCCCTGCCACCCTATTGTTACGCCACTGCACTCATGTCATAATCAAGTTATAGTTTACGAAAACATCTTCCAGCACACTACTCAGACGAAGAGACAAAAATAAAGACAGCCAACTACGAAAATGAAAAGGGAAGATACAAAAATCTAAAATATGAAGACTATAGACGAAAACGCGAAACTCCAAACACAACTGAAATAGAAATGACTAAAAATGTAACAAGACTGAAACCGGCAAAGGCGGCATCTATTAAAAAGAGCCGTAACCGATTTGACAGATTCGATATAACTACCAGAAGACCGAAGTATATGTGGAATTCGCAAAAGCTTGTTCAGGATTCCTTAGAGGGATTTTTAAGTAGACGAAGCAAAAAGAAGAGTATTGATTATGAAGAGACTCCAGGTAGGTTATTATATCGTTAAGACATTCTTGAATCTTGATTTAATAATATATAAAGGAAGTTTGAGTTGTATTTTTGGAATTGTATAGCATTTAAGTGTTTAGACCATAAAACTCTCGCAGACTGAAATCCTTAACTAGATTATAATTAATTAATATTCCAACTTAGGGAAGAGCCAAATTTAACAAAAAGTTTTTCGAAACAGTGAATTTTTCCTTTCCAGTTGACAGATATTTTAGTGGTTTTTTATACTAAATTATTAATTATCTTTCAATGCATAATGAATAGAATAGAATAGAATAGAATAGATCGCCGCTCGTCACGGCTCTTCTCTCTCTCCAATGCATAATGTGCGTTGACCACAATTAGCAACCCCGACCCTAAATAGTTCACCATACCATGACCTTCTTTAGCAATATTGTTACTTTAATACTTTGAATTCTTCTAACGCCATCGCTTTGTGTTTATGTACAAGTAATTTTGTATCATCAAGTCAAAGAATTATGATCAGCCTCTTGCATTTAAAGTGACTGAAGTCTTGATGGTCTCATTAAAAGCTCAAATTTCTTCACGAAATCCAAAAATCTTGGATATTATTTAAAAAGTGCCGGTCGCAGATTTATTTATAAATGTCTTTTGCATTATGTAAAGGCTCTATTCCTATCTACTAGTTAAAACTTAATACACATACACTGTCTAGATTTCAATGAAGGATACACAGATGTTGATGATGGCATCACACGGTCAATACAAGAAATGTACTATTCAAAGCCAAAGAGGAAATACAAACCATACCTAAGATTCTCTGAAGAGTTGATACGGCATTCAAGAGGCATGAAAAATCGCGACGATGTCTGGATTAGTCCTGAGGAAGCAGCAGAGGCAAGACGGGTTAGAGGTAAGCGGTTAAATAGACGAAAAACATGAAAACTAAACATTTATTCTTTATTGGTAAGGAGTTTAAAATCAAATATAGCTTATTCGTTTGAAAGACTAATATTAGATTCTAAATTAACATTAATAAATTTAGGGTTTGATATCATTAATTGAGCATTGAGGTTCAAATGCATCTAAAGAACAAAACAATATAACTTTAGTGTGATTAGTATATATTATACCTAAAATTAAAACAACTGAATTTATTCATTAAACAATTATTCCTTCTTAGATTTTTTTTCAAAGTTAAACATTTTAACTAGGTAATTATCATGAATTACACTAATCGCTTTTTATTATTAATTTATTATAAATTATTAATAATTGTTTTTTTGTTTAACAAGGGGCAAACGGGCAGGAGGCTCACCTGATGTAAAGTGACACCGCCGCCCATGGACACTCTCAATGCCAGAGGGTCAACGAGCCTTTAATTACTTTAAAAACTTTGTATTACTTGGCCTTCTTGCCCGCTCTACGCCCTTGATTTGCGAACTGGTAGTGCATGAAAATTTAGAATCAATTTAACATCTTTTCTGTTGACGTTCATAAGTGTACTTGGTTACCTATATGAATAAAGTTATTTTGAGTTTGATTAATAACGTTTTATACACAGGTTTGAAAATGGACAAAAAACTTAAAAGATTTCGCTATCCTAACTCGGAAGAGTTCATTGATTTTAATAAAAAAGAAATAAATATGGAAAATAAGAGAATACAAAAAAGAAGAACAAAAAAGAGCGATCGCAATTTTGAGATCTTCGAAGGTAAGAGAAGAAAATCAAATGGCGAGGACATGCCGTTTTTCGTAGCTGAAAAGGTTAAGAAAGATGTATCTTTTGAAGATGATGATGATAAATGGAATAAGGAAGACCAGCAGAGTGGAAAAGGTGTTTTTTATTTATTTATATATAGCTAATTGAATTACAATTGTCTTTGGTTTATATAATAAATAAAACTTCTTAACGGATATAAACGCGAATTTAATAGCGTTTCTAGTTTAACTGTATGTAATGCGCCTACGTTATATAAATTATGTTTTTCTATGTACCAAGAGATTTTTTAAAAATTAAAAAAGTCATTTTATTTTCAAATATAATATTACTATGAATAAGTTTGAATTAAGTTAGGTCTACAATGCAATTTATTTTCCATATGTTAATACTATTTTATTTTTAGGTATAAATCCAAGAGAATTTATCAGCGCCAAATTTAAAGTTGACGGTTCAAATGAAGAAGAAATTCCACTTGGATTGCGGAGAAAAAGGTAATGATTCCATTTGCGTGAATACAGGAAAAAATTACAACTTAACCTAGCAGTTCGTGAAATCAATCAATTAACAATTTGGTCTCGCACTCTACAGGGATTATTTGAAAAGTCTTTTTTCAGATCGATGGATGAAGACAGTTCGGAAGATAAGAGAGAGATGGACTATGTTATATCGCTTCGTCCTACACAGATACGTACATTCATCATTTGGTTTGAAGAAAAAAAGCCGTTTGTTATGTAAACAATTTTTTTATATAGATAACCAAAGATACGTCAAATAGGTATTGTTTTGTCCCTTTTACTCTCTTGACACATCGCACAGTTATCTAAGTGACAAAACATTAGTTTTTAAGACAAAGGAGTTGCTATCTCTGCCATGCTTTATCATGTTTGTGGATTTTAAGTAGAAAAAATGTTTTATTACTAAATTTTGTTTCGTCACAAAGATATAGTAGTTGAATTGTTTTGTATGTAGAGTCTACGAACCACAATTTCCTCTGTGAAAATAATATAATACTAAATTATTATTTGCAATTGGTCACTGTTGTATATGAACAAATGTTATAAAAATAAACTTTAGTTTTGTATATGAGTTTTTTTTTCTAATGATGAAATAATAATTGATTTCTGTAAATTACTGGTAAATATGTTGTAGGATCGAGGAATTACAATAAAAAAAGTAATTTAAAATATTTATTAAAACAATCTCTTGTAAAAATGAATAATCACAAATTATATTTAATTAACAATATAAACTAGAAAAATAAATAAGTACAAAAATCACTATTCGTCTAGACGCTAAGAAATCAAGTTCTTCATAACTTAGTTTAATAATACAAAATTCTTAAAAAAATTAATAGCCTATACAACGCACTAAGCCATTTCCTACTGGCATAAGTATCATCAGTTTCACCACTAAATCGCTTTAAGTATGTCTATAAAATTTCAAGCCTTCACGTCATCTTAGTTTGATCAAGGGATCACCTTCCAAAAATCTAAGAATCTGGACTTTTAAGTACCATATGAAGGGGAAACAAACGAATACACGTTCGACGAATTGAATACCATATCATCTTATTCTGGGTTATGGGCCAACCTGGAGTCACCATCAATTAAATCAATGTCAACCCAAGCTACCACTTACCAGTCAACTAATCGCGAAACTTCTAGAACCTTCATTTATGTCGTTTAACCGTCGTTTTACTAAAATAGAGTTTGTGTATAAGTACAAAACTCTATTATCTAGAAAGTACGTACCTTTAGCAAAAATAACAAAAATCATTAATATACTAAGTGCTCCCCTTGGTATATCGTAAAAATAAAACATGTTTATAAGTAGAAAACGCTCAAGTAATAAGTACAAATACTATGCTTAAGAGGTAGACTATTTTATTCGATAGCTTCTATGCATTCTTCTTTGCTTGTAGTTTTGCATAGCTCTGAAAACAAAAGATGATATTATTGATGTCACAAATTCATATGAGAAGCGCAGTGTTAGTCTAGTGACTCTAATACTGAGGTCGTAGGTTCAAACTCCGGATAGGTACTATGAATTTTTTTGTACGTACACTTATACTGTCATAAAAGAGTCAAATCATTTATTTCATTAGGCCTATTAAAAAGGCAATGAAAGTCAAAATTACAAGTTACAAATATTAAAAAAATGAATGTAGTTGCTCCTTCCAAAAGAGTCATAATTCATATGGAAAATAATGGGCAAGGCCTGACTACGCCTTAGACCCTAAGTTCCCAAAAAGTCTATTCCGTATGTGAGATACAGAAATTCACCATCTTGCCTATTAAAAATTAATCCGAAACAGATACAGAAAGCTGAAGCCAAGATCTTTGGATCTTACAACCTTATCTTAGGTACCATTTTATATATAATTGTTAAGATAATGAAAATAATAATTAAATTTTTAGAAACATATTTTCTATAAAAGACATAAACCTTTAAATAGTTTAAGATAACAAAACACGACTAAAATTTTTATTATAAAACCATTTACCACATACGATAATATCGTAGATACAATGAAGAGTTGTCTAATTGCCTAGATGGCGCTAACTTATTGTTATTGTTTTTCCTTAAACCAGACTAGTTCTTACCTCTTCCGCCATTTTGTAAAGCATAATAGCTGATTCAGCTCCAGTCTGTTCCACTAGAGATTGGAACACTCCATTTACTAATATCTCTGAACTATTTACCCTATAAGCAAACGTTAGAAGTGTTATATTGTGTATGTAATGAAGCATTTAAAAAAATCGGAGGACAAGGCAATGTCAGATACATTTCCGTTTATTTGAAGCTTAAACAAATTTATTTATTTCACCATAAATCAGATTAATCTAGTGTTATATGCTATGCGCGTTAACAGCTAAGGGATCGTTCAAGTTTTACGTAAGCATATTTACTGCAATTTATCAACCCCCCCACCCCTCCTCCTTCTCCTATTGTGAGCAAAAGTAAGCAAAGCTCTCAAAAATAATACAACATAAACGTATAATTTTAAACGTGTAAAATTTATTGAAAATCCTTTTCGTTTTCAAGCATAGACAATGTGTGGGTTATATGAGTAAAAAAGTAAATATTTACTGTTGACGTAATCACCAAATAAGAAAAATCCCTAACCCCCCAACTATAGTGCTTACGTAATACTTGAACACTCCCTAACCCACGGTGCAGAAATATATATCTACTGAAAAAAATTCTAATAAGTAATATTTTTAGTTAATTGCTGATTATATATATATATATATATATATATATATATAGGGGAAGATTGTTACCCTTCGTACGCGGGGCACATTCATACAGTCGAAATAAAACTTGAACGAAACAAAGTACAGTCTTGTTTTTGTATGTGTGCATGAGTCGAGGTACGAACTATACATAATCGAAGTTTCGCGAAATTCGCACCGATGAGAATGAAGTTACAGGCATGGACGTGTTTTCGCGCTCGGTAAGTAATTTTTTGATCAATGTTTTTGTCTCTTGTTACCGTAGATAAAATAAGTTTTCGTGTAGAGTATTCTATCAGTAACTAGCAAAATATACTTAGATACGTCTCCAATACTTAATTTATGACGTTTTCCTATTAATATTAAAATAAGTTATATTTTGTTGTTATTCAGTTAGTGGGGTACTTTCGGACAGCACTAGATGGGGCACATTTGAACGAATTGTACAACTAAATTTGTATGAAAATATTTTGTCGACACGAACTGTAATTTTCATACAAATTAAGTTTTCGACTTGCTACATACAAATAATAATAAGGCATCTTGACTAAACCCTCTGGTAGGTAGGAAAGATTGTGTTAGTGTGCTAATTGCTCTAATATTTCCATTAACTTTGTCCTGTGTTGCTATCATTGCTATCGTCGATGTATTTTTATTACCTATTTTTATTATCTTTATTAAGGTTGATTTTGATGCATGTGAACCAGATGCTTTGAATAATTTACCAATCCATCAAATAGTAGTTCCTTCGAAGTCAGTTTTGACACCTTAAGGGTTTCGACTCTATACGCATGTTGTAAGAAGTAATAAAACAAACAAAATGACGACGGCCAGGAAAACCACGAATTTATACTGCCACACCCGAAAATAAGAAGTGCTAATCCGCACCAAAGATTAAAGAATGTGATTCTAAATTTAAGATACCTAACTAATTAAATTTTGGTTTTCTTAAGAAAAGCTATGTAATTTTTGTTCACTATAATTAAAGTATTTTATTTTTGTTTATTAGAAGTTAAATCTTTATTTTTGTGTTTAATTTCATTGCTAATAAATGAATTTTGATTTATATGTGTCGTTTTAATCGCACGTACGGAACTACCCCACAGCGTACGAAGGTACCCTCAACACTGTACGAAGGTGCCCCGTTGATGGGGTAGATTCGTACGTTTTCCAGATTTAGTTTAAATCATAATTATGGTTGAACCATCAGATGAAATCATTTGTCATTTTCTTATATGAATCTCAGATAGTTAGACTATAAATTTAAGCTTGCAGATGATTGATTCATGGAAAAATAAAATAATAAAAAAATAAAATGTGAAAACCGTACGAAGGGTCCCGACCTTCCCCTATATATATACTTATGAGCTTATAATTAGTCAAGATTTAATTTCTTCTTAAAGTTTCAATATATAAATAAATTCACCCAATACATAATAGTTATTACCTTTTTGAGTGATCGCCAATCGCAAATGTCGGGTTCTCTTTCTGAAAGAGAAGGGAGAAAAAAAATAGAAATTAATTTCTCTATCATAAAACCTAAATAAACTATTATAATACTTAAAAAAACGTACCGCAACGCCTGGTCCTGTGGAATCTTCAAGTTTTAATAATTCGTAAGGGTGACCTGTTTCAACTACGCGGCCCCTGAAAGTGAAAACCATCTTAAATATTATCACATAAGAACATCACAGAAACTCGCTCGTAAAAACGACGTAAAATATCCTATATTACGATGATAAAGTTACAAGTATCAAAAATAAATAAAAATAAAATATGTTTATTATGGAACATAATTAAGATACAGGTATCACTTATTCCACGTCATTAATTTTGAATTTTATCGCATTGGCTATAAGCTGTCAGGGTAGTTGTATTAACTATAAATAAAAAGTAAATAAATAAATCTTATCCAATAGTATCTCCTTGAGGATTAGGTCATAGGCAAATAATATATCGAAAGAGAACTTATCTAATGTAAGCGTACGATAAACCAGGCTCCAGAAGATAACCCACTTCTTATATGGAAATTGTATTCGTTTTTACAACTAACTCCCAAGCGAAATTAGAGAATTCAAAACTCTCGTTAAACGTAAATTAACCAATAAATCTTTTTATTAATTTGACGAATATTTAAAAGATCCTAATCCTTGGGGTTGATTTGCTTCAGTTCAAACAATTTGTATGACTCAAAACTTGGCGATTAAAAAGATTGGCGGAGAGTTTCTTGCCAGTTCTTTTTGCCCGCTCTACGCCCTTGACTTGCGGACTGGTAGTAAATGTAAATTTAGAATCAATTTAACATATTTTCTGTAGACGTTCATAAGTGTACTTGTTTACCTATATGGATAAAGTTATTTTTAGTTTATTTGACTTACTTGTCCATAACAATTACTCTGTCATAATCCATAACAGTGTTGAGTCGATGTGCAATTGTCAACACAGTCGAGTTGGAGAACTTCGTTCTTATCGTATTTTGGATATGACGGTCCGTTCTGAAAAATATTTAATAATAATCCCTTATAATAAAACCAGTGTGGGCCTAGTGGCTACAGCGTGTGACTCTCATCCCTGAGGTCGTGGGATCGATTTGTGCACCAATGGACTTACTTTCTATGAGCGCATTTAATATTCCTTTTATTCCTCATACTCAATAGATTTCTTTAAATAATTTGTGCGCGGCTTCGGCAAGATAAGCAAACTCGCTCTTATTTGATTTTTTAAATGATAAGCTACTATGGGGTCAGTTATTAATTATTTTTTAATTAAGATACAGGTGCTATAAACATATAGTTGTTTAATCGTCATAATTTTGGTTTCTTGATAGATTAGTAGGTGATAAATTTTTTTATCTAAATAGTGCTTTTATTAATTTATTTTGTAGCGTTTGTATCTTAGAAATTTTGTATTTTAATTAGAAATATGAAATGTGTCTTCACTAAACTATTATAAATCAAATGACGTACAGATTGCGGAATGCACATTGATATTGACCAAAATCTGCCTATAAGTGATTTTAGTTTGGTAATTATGTGTGATATATGAAAGTTCCACTTTAAATTTGTATCCATTTAATTAAGAATCAATGTCACAATCATAAAAACCAAATTGATATAGTAATATATTTAAAGTTTAAAAATTATTATAACTTACTCTGAATCGACATTAGCTGTAGCTTCATCTAACACGAGAACAGCTCGTCTAGCCAACGCCGCACGCGCAAGACACAAGAGCTGTCTCTGTCCTGTCGATAAGTTGCCACCTCCATCTCCTACTCGGGAGGCTAAACCACCAGCTAAACTTGATACTAAGGATTCTAGTTCGACCTGAAATAATACTAGAATATTATGAAACCTAGAGAAAGTATAAGGTGTGGACTTATGTACACGCGTTAGAAGTTATACTTCTTTGGCGTAATAATTTTCTTCGCGCACTTTAGAGGGACGTTTCCCTCTTCGAATTGCATTTTTCTTGTCCATTTCAATGGTCACTTCCAATCGAAATGATATAAGTAATCATGATATTTTACAATAAACACTAGGTTTTTTATCACATTGGAACAGGTTTTCTCGTATAAAATTATTATTTATTATTTTGGTTTAAATAAACACTACGCCATGCCAGACAATGCAATTTGTCGATATAACAGAGCAAGCGCAGACTGTTTTACCGACGATTGAAAAGATATTCAGGGTCGGTTTTTGGTGACGGTGTGCGGGTGTCGGTTTTTTGTGACGGTGTGCGCGCGCATCGTAAAAATTTACTCTCATAATTTTTCTCTAACGCGCCAAAAGAAGTATAACTTCAAAAATAAAGAAATATATGTATTTTCCTCTATTTATATATTTGATAAATTCTTACCTATATTAAGGAACTTTTAGAAAGGGTACGTTAAGGAATATAATATGTAAGCAATTTTTGTAATATTAAATTAAATAATGTGACCTGAAAAGAAGTGCTTATAGGCACCAGCCCCATCAATGTAAGCCTCGTAATACCTCTTTTAAAGCAGCATTTATATCAGCATCGCTATACTTCTGCTCTGGGTCTAAATTGTCTCTTAAACTGGCTGCGAACAAGGCAGGTCGTTGTGGCAATGCGCAAAGCCTTGAGCGCCATGTTCGTAATCCAGCTGTTTCTGCACTAACGCCATCTACCGTCACCGAGCCTGATATTTTGTTCATTCTACAAAGAGTTTTAATAAACCCATTAGTACTACAACCCTTTACGATTTAGAAGGACATTTCTATAATACATTTATGAGGTTTTATGTTAAGCACAGGTTGAAAATTTGGAAGAATATGACTATGACTAAGAGAGTGCAGTTCGAATTTCCGAACGAATTCGACTTGGAGTCCTTCAAGGAAAGAGCGTACAAACGCCGGCAACGCACTCATGCGTCTCTGGCATTGATAGTGTCCATGGGCGGCGGTATCACTTAACACGAGGTGAGCCTCATGTCCCCTGTTCAATAAAAAAGAACTTGCCAGGTCGCCACAATGTTCCTATAACCCATCTTCTATAATTTCTATTCAATAGAGTCGGCAAAGAAATTTCGCATTTAAATTGGTGCAATATGTTAATACGTAAACACCTTCCTTGACTGGTGTTTCAGCTTCTATTGTTATATTTCCTACTCACCTAAACAAAGCAGCAATAAGAGAACTCTTTCCGGCTCCAGTTCTACCAACCACAGCCACTTTCTCTCCAGGCTTTATCTTGAAGGAAACGCCACGTATCGCCAAGTTATCTTCTTTTCCCTTATCCTCTGTACTCTTTTCTTGTGGAGGCCTCTCATACTCTAAGAATACATCTTCGAAGACTATTTCACCTGAATCGTAAGTTCAATTTATAAATAACAGTTTCTATAGCTTCAAAACGTGTCTAGATTTACTTGTGAATAGAATAAGTAAAACGTCACGAACCTAAAAATTATGTTCATCATAAGAATCTGAAAGATATCCAGCGTCTGCACAAACTTCAATGGAAGAGAATTTCTTGTCAAGAAAAGTTTAAATTAAATAAATTCAATTAATGTATAAATTAAAAGACGCGTCTTATCTTAAGGATACATCGTTTCAAACTCGAAATAACTTATTCATATAGGTAACCAAGTACATTTACGAACTAGAGAAGATGTTAAATTGATTCTAAATTTACATTTACTAGTTCGCAAGTCAAAGGCGTAGAACGAGAAGAACTGGCAAGAAACTCTTCGCTACTCTTTTTAATCGCCAAGTTTTGAGTCATACAAATTGCTTGAACATAAAAATTGGAGCAAATCAATCCCAAGCATTAGGATCATTTAAATAATCGTTGTTCACAAAAAAGGATATTTGCATGAATTATCTTACCCTTTTCTGGCCATGTATTAAAATCTAGTCCAGGATGTTCTTGAAGTAGAGCTTTGGTGTTGGGCTCAGTTGGTTCTTCTGGTGGTAAATCTGCATATTCTAATATTCTTTCCACCTGTTAAAAAATTATTTATCGTATTATAATAGGTGTGCATAAACCATAAGTTATCATTAGTGATTTATTTAGGTTCGGACAAAAACATTATAATGAAAACAAATTTAAAAACTTTGGTCCCTGTGGCAATGTACCTTTAACGCTGGCAGCGTTTACTAACTGTATTGCGATACTTATTCGTTGAGCGAGGAAAGTACCAGCTCTGGGGTCGCCGGTACTATCTACCAGGCGCCAACTTAAAACAAAAATTATTAATAATAATGAATAATTTATATTTTTTTCTGATACTTTATTTTTTAGGTTTGTAGAATTTCTACTTCAATTACCTAAATTAATGTATTATCTATTAGTACTCCTTTATTTTAGTCATAATAAAGTGCAGTTAAACCAAGTGTTAGAGTTTATTTAAACGGAATTATTCGTCAAAAGCAAAGAACCTGTTTACAAATGAAGCGTAAGCGAAAAAAAAACTTACGTAACAGGCGACCAAAGAGTTAGTCTATGAATTTAAGTCTATTGGTATGACTCAGAATGACATATCTGTCAAAATCTTATGATCATGACAGATGGGGACTTCATTCGCAATTAGAATAGTAAAAAAACTTACAGATGTCATCTGGTTCTCTACCTCGGCTGTCTGCCTCATACCAAATTGACACATGCCAACCAAACTGATCGCTTGAGTGATTGCTAAGCCCACGTTACCGCCCATTTTATCTGAAAAGTATAATAATTTAAAAAAATATTAATATAAAGGCCATGGCCTTACCATCCTACTAAAAAAATTTTTACATTTATGACATGGCGTCTATAAAAAGACCTCGTAGTTAGAGTAAGAGTTATTGAGGAATGAAGGTTTAATCATACATAAGACAAATAACGTTTACTTTTTACAGAAAATTCTATGTGCGCATTTAACATTCGCTCGAACGGTGAAGGAAAACTTGTGAGGAAACCGGAATGCCTTAGACCCATACATTCGATGGCGTATGTCAGGCACAGGAGGCTGATCACCTACTTGCCTATTAGATTGACAAATGATCATGAAACAGATATAGAAATCCGAGGCCCAGACCTAAAAACGTTCTAATATTTATTTTTTTAACTATAGAAAACAAATAGAAAAAAAAATATATATATAACAATTTTTTTCTCGAATTACGAAGTTTTAACCATTCTTTTAATTATCGTATTAATTAACACTGTAAAATGGCAACACTCACCTCCCAAAGCAAACAAGAAAAAGCTGAAAGTGACAAATGCCAGATACAAGCAACAGACTATATCCATCCAGAAACCAAAAGCTCTATCGGTGGTCAATTCCACACTCTGTGCTGTTGTGTGAAAATCTTGCAGCTTGTCAAATTCTTTGGCTAAAGTTTTCAACTGGTTCTTCACTGAACGAATCGTTGTTAATCCTGAGACGGTGGATGTTGCGTGGTTCAAACTTAAACTGACAGCTGAAAACGTATTCGGGTATCATTCTTTGTGAGCAATGACCGTGACAATTTACAGGTTAGGTTAACAAAGTATGAAAAATTCTTTTGCGCACAATCGAAAACGCGAAGGTACGTCATTTGAGATTTCAATGGATTATGCATAAAATATAAAATACTAATATTTCAGAAATTATCTTTACGAAATTTTAATCTTAAAAATAGAATTTCTATAAGGTAATTCACTCTCTCTCAATCGGTCTTAATCGCTCTCTCCCTTTCGACAAAAACGCTGCACATCTTCGTGACGTTCCGTAAAAATGTTACCCTCATGCGCCTAAAGAAGTTTCACTTCAAAAATTAAATGTATTATTTGTATTAATTTTCGACACTTAATATTTTAATGATAATTAAATTGATTAAATTCCTAACATATCTTCCTTTTTCCCTCCCTCTAACTCTCGGAAATCTAATGTTTTAGATTTGTATAAATATGAACAAGAGTTAAAAATTAGTTTGCCAAAGAAGTTTCACTTCTGACATGTGTACGTAAGCACTTTTTTATGTTATAGGAGGCAAACGGGCAAGAGGCTTACCTGATGTTAAGTGATATCGCCGCCCATGGACACACATTGCCAGAAGGCTCGCAAGTGCGTTGCCGGCCTTTTAAAAGTTGGCACGCTCTTTTCTCGAAAGACCCTAAGTCAACTTGGTTCGGAAATACTTCAGCGGGCAGCTGGTTCCACATAATGGTGGAGCGCGGCAAAAACTGATATATTTTAAGTACAAATAATTTAGTTGTTACGATAATACTTGAACAAATAAATAATTATTATAAACTTACTAATGGCCTGAACCCTCTTCAACTCACGACTCGTGGTAAGATATAGGGACCGGAGTATCCACAGTAAACCAGCAATCACTGCAGTTGGGAAAAGTAACCACCAGTTCACAAGGCACACTACGAACAGTACTGCGATGACTTCTAGAAAGAACTATAAATAAACATTTCAATAAATGTTCATGACAGAACAGTGGTTGTGACAAAATTCATCTATCACTAGGGAGTCCCTGTGTTATGGGTTACTGGATTACAATTATTCCGTGGTACATGGTGCATGTATGCCATTTTTTAAAGAAAAAGTAGTCTTAGTGTTCCAACTAAGCAAACAAAAGTGGTGTAAGTATGCATGAGTCCGTGTGTGTGCGTAAAATACACCCTCAAAGTGTGGCTAAGAGTTGTTGTCGCACTGCACGTACAGTACAGTCTGTGTTAGTTTTTGGAACCCAGAGTCATGCCTGAATACGTAGTAAGACTTCTGTAGATTCGAAATCCAAATCAGCTAGCGTAATTGTTATGTGTTCTGTATCTGGATAGACGTTTATCTTGAATCTCTAGGTTATGAATACTTCTCAAATCTCTTAAAAATATATTTTTTAAGAGTCCTTAGGGTTATAAACGTATGACTCCCATGAGTCAAATCCAATATGTTTCTGACATAGGGAAGTCATACTTAACTTTTAGAATGGACTCTGAACCCTTAAAGGCTTTGTATAGGCATTTTTAGTAGTCAAATAATAGTCGAAGAGCGTTACGCAGACTTGTGTACGTTATAGAAGCAAACCCCAAGTTTTAAAATTCTATAAATTATAGTATATACCGGAATAAGTATTTGCCACTAAATTTAATTATAAAAAAGTTATATATTTTAAGATATTAAAACGGCAAACATTCTGCGATAACGTTTTCAAAGTAAATTTTGATGCTTTTCAGGTCACGCCTAAAGGAACCCCAGATAGGAATAAACAATCCCCACTTCACCTGCAGGTGAAATAGTATACATATATAGCATTAATATGGATGCAGAAATTTTAATACTCACAGTAAGACATTCAGACAGTGTCCAGTGTAACATGGTGTCCACTTGGCTGATATCATTGGAGAATCGGTTCAGGATACGCCCCGATGGGTTGTGGTGAAAGAACCACATTGGAGCGTTTGTTACACCCCTGAAAAGATTCGACACATGACAGCTAGCTGGCAGACATATTGACAAACTAATTAAATTAATTCGAAGCATATCAATCAAAATTTATGTACACTTTTTAAAAAGGAAGATTAAATTTATAGTCAATCACTCCGCTTGTAGTAAACAGTTAAAAAAATTAATAAGAAAATATATATTTATGGAATTTACTATACAGTTTCTTATGAAAGAAGTGGGAACCCTGACAGGTATTTTTCCCAAATGTTACATATTATAATTGAATGTTTATAATAAATAAGCACATTTTTTTACTACCAGTTCCCAAATCAAGAACGGCGTGAACTGGAACACTCAGCCTCATTTGACAATAACTAGGCAGACAAGTCAACAGGTGAAATTAAGCTAAATTTATGAGATTTAACCAAACATAATACATGATATTTTTTATAGATTACTATTGTTGCGTTTTCTGGACGTAGGACCCGAGCATAAAAATAAAATAGCTTTTTCATAACTTTATATAAATTCTGGAATACTTTCATCGCTTTAATAAATAAAGTAATAAAACAGTAGCGCTACAACCTTTTTAGGTCTAAGCCTTAGCTTTCGGTATCTGTTTCATGATCATTTGTTAATCTAATAGGCAAGTAGGTGATCAGCTGTGCCTGACGAACGCCGTCGATGTTTTCCTTCACCGTTCGAGCGAATGTTAAATGCGCACATAGAAATAAAGTCCATTGGTCCACAGCCGGGGATCGAAACTACGACCTCAGGGATCTGAGTCGCACGCTGAAGCCACTAGGCCAACACTGCTCTTCTTCAATTAAAAAACAAACAGATATATCATTAAAGTTACTTACGTGAACATCCTTTCGTGTAACTTGACAGATGCGCGTAAGCACGTATTGTAGAAATAGATCATTTTACTCCACGTCAGAAAGAGACAGACGATTATCAAAGCAGCATAGATATACACGTAGATGTTTCGAGAAATGTTGAAGGTATTATGGTCTAGATCTTCGAAATTCACTGAAAACAATAATGATAATAATAATAATGAATCAAAGAAGAAAGAAATAAGAACAATATAATAATAATCAAACTTAAAAAAAATCAAAAAGTTTAGTTTCCGAGCCTGGTGTTGAATGAACCAGGCCAAAACTAAGACACCCACGCCTTACAGCTGAAATGGAAATGGGCAGGCCACATTGCAAGGTGTACAGACAGAAGATAGCCCGCCGAGGCCACCCGCTGGAGGGTACCTACCTCCAGGAAAAAGAAACGTGGGAAGACCACAAAAGCGATAGGCTGACGACATCATAAAAGGAGAAATGGATGGAGGAAGCAAATAATATAGATACAAATGCAAAGTTTAGGAGGGTCAGGGGATCCCAAAAGGAGTACCCTGATGTACAGGTTTCCCTAGATTTAGTTTTGAACAATGGAGAAACAATATCGAACGTGTATAATAACAAAAGCATCACATTAGTTATTCTGTAGGTATGGAATAAAAGTGGCTTTATTTTAATGGAACGTCTCTGGGTGGTTAAAATTTAAACTAATTGGAGACTGAGTTTGATTACCAGTGAAACAATGATTATAACAATAATAGTTTGAAGTATTTTTAATACACAAGTTACAATGGATTATAAAGCTTAAAAGTTGTACTATCGGATATACATAATCAAGTCAGTTAAGCATTTATTAAATTGAAAATACCTGCAGTGGAGTTTATATTTGTGTCATTATTTGTAATTGACACGTTCGCCATATTGATAGCACTGTTGGCTTCTTCGACATTTACCCTAAAACAAAATTTTAAAATACAGAATAGTATTGATACTATGGGCGGGTCTCTCAACTTCTTTGTGCGTTCGAACTCCGGTATATAAAATATTTAAGAAGTTTTAGAGCAAATCCATGAAGCACTACTCTCCTAAATAAATGTTTTAACACGAAAGTAAAAAAAAGTTAAAACAAGTTTACGAAGCATTTAAATTAGCAAAATTCTTTGGACCTTGCGCACCATCGACAGCAGGGGTTAGGGACCGTTCAAGTACTAAGCAAGCAGATTTACTGTAATTTATCCCAATTTAAAAGTAATCAAAGCTCTAAAAAATAATAAGTAGGAATCCTCGTTACATTTTGTTTTCAAGCATAGGTAGACAATGTGTGAGAAATTTGTGTATAAAGTAAATAATTACTATTGACGTAATCACCAAATAAAAAAATCAAAGACGGGGGGGGGGTCTTTGATTCTCCCTCTATAGTGCTTACGTAATACTTGAACGGGCCCCTTATGTAGGTCATGAGCCCCCCTCTGGGGCCTGGACTCACTTTTTCAAAAATTAATAATCGATAGTTACAGATTCTGTATAAAACAATTCAAATCAGAATAAGAGTCTTTTTCATAAACCATTTACTATGCCCGCGGCCCCCCCAGCGCGAATTATAAGCCCGTTCTTCTCTTCCTAACCAGCCCAATAGAACTATGAATAATTATGCCACAGTATGCATACATTGCTTTGCTTTGGCGTTTAAAAAGTTTCTGTATATCTAAACTTACCATTCAGCAAGCCACAGATTGATCGACGAATAAAACGACTGTCCAGCTACGAAGAGTACCATCAAAATGAACATAGCAGTTTTGCCCCCACCGCTCGTTATGTATGATACATAAACGCTGCTAGACACAGCGCCCGCTGATTGATTTTCATCTGAAATTTAAAAAAAAAATGGTTTGGTAAGCCTGGTATGGAGGAGATGTTATCCCTAGAGTCTTTTAAAACTCTTTTAGTTAATCATTTCCTATCCTGCTCAATCGTGACTTTTGTAATTCTTGTATTTCTTATTCTTTTGTATTGCATCGTAATTCATTAATCCGTGATATTATGTTTTAGTTTATCTTATTATATTTTTAGCATTTTTTTCGATAAAAGTTGGTTTTATAAGATTTCGTTATGCGCTTCTTGCACATTACCCTTTTTTTAGTATTTTCCTTACTAGGGTTGCCTGGAAGAGACCACTTGTTAGCAATAAGGCCGCCCGTTGCATCCCTTTTAGTACGAGCCCCAGTTACCTATAAAAATAGTGAAAAACACCATTCGCGCTACCCTTGGTCTCGGCGTCAGTTTTCAGAAGCTGTGTAGTAATCATTTGTATTTACTAATAGGTACGTAGGTGATAAGCCTTCTGTGCCTGACACAGTCATCTTTTTGGCCGAAAAGCACGCAGGTTTCCTCACCATGTTTTCCTTCGCTGTACGAGTGTTAAATGCGCACAAAGACAGAAAGTCCATATATACAAAGCTGGGGTGTACTTATGGGTTTAAGGCTCTATCCCAGCAAGAATTGCTGTGTCAGTGTCTCGGGGTGGACTGCGGGGCGCAGTGGAGAGCTGAGACGCGCCAGCCCGTAATAACAATTAGTTATGTAAAACATTAAATTACTGTAATTTTTTTTTTCAGAAAAGGATTACTTGGCTTGCGATAAAATATATCGTGTAAATTTCAAAATCATGCATTTTCGTCATAAAATGAATTCAAAGTGTCAAAAATTGGCTATGTTTGGATTTTTTTTCTTTCTAGCGAAGTTATTTAAATCGTGTATCGATCTTTCAAAATGGATACAATAACTACTCAACTCCACTATATTTTTTTCCATTCAAGATACGATGACGAAAAATGGAAACAAACAATGTACGTTTTTGGAGTTTGGCGACCGGATAGGTCCTTAATCTAGGACCTCAGGGATGAGAGAAGCACGCCCCTAGGCTAACATTTCCCACTACCTATAGCACAAGGAATTTAAAACTATATATAAACTTCTAAGGATGTCCTTTTTTAGATAATTTAAAATGATTTGAAATGAACCTTGGTGTTGCGGGCTGTCTTCAGGTACATTTAAACTATGAATCGATTCGCTCATGGATTTTTGAGTTTTCACCTTTTCCGGGCTCTGTTTGACTGTTTGTTCCTCATTTACACCTGACATTTGTTCCAATTCCGATACGGTGGTTTTCAAATCTTGATAGGTTCCTTGAGATACGATCTAGAAGAAAATCAATGTATTAACTTATTTAGAAACAAAACTAAGTTTAAACTTTAGTACTTTTTCGTCTGTTTCTGATAAATTGGTTTTTACGCTGTGATGGGAAGAGATAGTTCAGTTAGATTGCAAAAAGATTAATATATTTTTTATGACAATATACCAATTGACAAAGCAGAGCTACCATTGTGGTAGACGTGGTCCTTAATATTCCTTAACGTATAATGATTGATATTAAAAAAAGTCTACCACTTAAGCAAGCCAATTCCCATAGCTATATGAGGCTAGGTGAAGGATAAAAAATAATTTCTCATGCCCAGGTGGTATTGGTTTTTATTTTATTTATGCAAATGTATTTTTGATACATAATAAAGATTCCTTTTTGTTCAAGTATCGCAATACAGCGTGGAAATGCTGCCAGCGTTTAATTTTCTATTTATTAATTTTTAATTACTTTTATTATTACTATGAAGATAAAGAAAATTTTAATTTGATGAAAATCTTTTTGATTGGATTATATGAGCAACTAACCTTCCCACCTCTTACAACACAAGTATTATCAGCATGTCGTGTGTATTGCACGTGATGGGTCACAAGTAGTACTGTTTTATCGCGAAGAAAACCCCTAATACAGTCTTCGTATATTGCTTGGGAAACCTGCGAAAAATTTTTTTATTAATTTAAAATAATTGTGACTGAGCGAGAAAATGCTATCAGCTAAGGGAACATTGTTTTTAAGAGTTTTTTTTTGCAGTAATTATTATTTTTATATAGTGAAATTAATATTATATTATTTTAAATAAATTACTGTAAGCGTAAGAAATATTAAGTCTTTACTCCAACTTCGGTTTGCTCCCTTTGGAGTAGAGACTCTTGGGCCGTGGGGATCAAGTGCACAGGCGCTTATTAAAGATTTAAGTTGGCGCCTGGTAGATAGTACCGGTGACCCCCGAGCTGGTGCTTTCCTTGCTCAACGAATAAGTATAGCAATACAGAGAGTAAATGCTGCCAGCATTAAAATGCTACAGGGACCAAACTTTTTAAAATTGTTATAATTTTTATTTTTATAATTTTTTTATTATTACTATGTAGGTTAATTAGTGTAATTAAATGTTATATTATATTATTCAAATGATGTCTAAAATTCAATAAACTCAATGTAATAAGTCTCATCTTGTAAATTATTTATATAATACATTATATAATCTTTAATAATACATTGGAGTTCGATAACAGTGATTTATAATTAAATAAGAACCTTAGCATCAACGGCCGCCAACGGATCGTCCAATAAGTAAACGTCCGCGTCTTGATAGACGCAACGAGCGAGGGAGATGCGCGCGCGCTGACCACCCGATAACGTTACACCTATAATTAAAATATTAGAATTAAATTTTGTAATTGAATTAAGGTAAAATTATCCCTGTATAGAATATAAAATGCATTAAAAAATTACAATAAAAAAATAATAATATAGTGCTTAATAAGAATTAACCTCGAAAAGCTTAATGACAGTCGACTCTCGATAATTTGAATTATATTTCCGGTCTCTTGAAAAATTTGAATAAAATCAATGTTTATTTATCCCCTCGGTAATTTGAAGTTAAAAAACTCTCTGGCCAACATGCGATAATTTGAAGTCCGGGCTTTTGCTTTTTATACTGTCTGTTTTGAAGTGTTTATCATGTACAGATGTTTTTGAAGTTATACTTCTTTTGGCGCGTTAGGGAAAAATGATGAGAGTAAATTTTTACGATGCACGCGCACACCGTCACTAAAAACCGACACCCGCACACCGACACAAAATCCGACACCCTTAGCATAGTCAACATTAAAAAAAAATATTACTTTGGGATATTTTTTTATTTTTCTACAAACGTAGAATAAGGCAAAAGATTTTTTTTAAACAGATGTTACGCCAAAGAAGTATAACTTATAACGCGTGTACATAAGTGCACACACGTTGTTTTTTAATTCTTTGTACAATGAAAGACTGTAGTCGCATTTAACATCCGCTTGAACGGTGAAGGAAAACATCGTGAGGAAAACGGTTTGTCTTAGACCCAAAAAGTCGAAGGCGTCAGGTACAAGAGGCTGATACCCTGCTTGCCTATTAGATTGATAAATAATCATGAACAGAAATATGAGGCCCAGACCTCAAAGGTTTTAGCGCTGCTGATTTTTTTTTTTTAAATCGTATACTCTTGATAATATCTATAAAAAATTTAAATATCCTACTCAAGACTGATAGACCAGAACCGACTCTGATAGAAAGGAAGAGAAGATCTATGCCAAAAGATGCGTGATGTTTTTCAACAAAATTAAATAATATAGTATATATACCTTTATCCCCAACAAGGGATTGGTCTCCATGTCGAAAGTCTTTGAAATCACTCTCAAGTTGACAACAATTCACGACCCTCCTATATTTATCCTTGTCAAAGTCCTGACCGAATATTATGTTTTGTCTAACCTGGAGTAAATTTATTGCATTTATTACTGCCGGTTTTATAGCATAATATATCCCTTTTATTGTATAGTATGCCCCTTTAATAGCATAATGTGCCTCTTTTATAGCATAATATTCCCCTTTTATTGTATAGTATGTCCCTTTAATAGCAGAATATGCCTCTTTTATAGCATAATATGTCCCTTTTACAAAAGTGGAGTCAATCGAGTTGAACAATATATATGTATAGAAGTCGTACCTAAACGAATTTTAGTTTATGCTTACCGAAGCATCAAACAGCCAAGACTCTTGCGCAGCATACGCTACTGAACCGTTAACTCTCAGTTCCCCACTTTTTGGAGGTAGCTCCTCTAATATCGACAAAAGGAGGGTAGATTTTCCTGACCCTACTGGGCCTATTATTGTTGTAAGCGTATTGGGTTTAATCTGAAATGTCATGAATTTTATGATAGTAGGGTTAGCAGGAATCGTAATTAATTTTAGGTATTTCACGCTCCTAAAGTTAGCTCTTATAGAAATAAAACTTAAGTATTATTATTACAATTAAGTTTCATCATAGGACGTCAAGGCAGAACACAAAATACCATCCGTATCACCTCATCGTCCGTCGTTCCACAAGCAGTTTTTGCCGCGCACCACCACTTTGTGGAACCAGCTGCCCGCTGAAGTATTTCCGAACCAATTCAACTTGGGTCCTTCAAGAAAAGAGCGTACCAATTCTTCAAAAGGCCGGCAACGCACTTGCGAGCCTTCTGGCAATGTGAGTGTCCATGGGTAGCAGTATCACTTAACATCAGATCAGCCCCTTTGCCTCTTATCACATAAAAAAAGTTATGTCAGAAGTACCATAGACTATATAAACTTTTTAGAAGTGGTCACATTTTCTATACCTACCTATATTTTAAACTCAAACAATAACCCATACAGATGCATAATTTAGGACTTATTTAAAAAAAGCTGTATTACCGTTAAATTGATATCTGAAAGCACCGGCTGTGTCTTCGATTCTGTGTTTTCCACCCAAAAAGCAGTAAAATCTTTAAATACTATTATCTCATTCTCATTTGTTTTTGGTTTAAAGTCTGGAACGTAACTAAAACAGAATTACTTATAACATTAACTTAAACACAACATTTAATAATATCCACAAATTGAAGCGAAATTGCCGTTTCATATAATTTTTATACAAATCCTGATCGTATTAAATTTAAAAGTTATTTTAAAGTTTTTCGAGGAATATGAATCAGTCTTATTTATTTATTTCGTCATCCTACAGCTAACATAAATTGTAAAAGTATATCAAAATACAATTACACCAAAGATATAGCCAAATATAATCCTTAATAATATTTTTTCTTAAACTCAAAATTAAGGGTTTAATATTCTGGTTAAAAAAGGTGATTTTCTTAAGACGAATACTTAAGACTTAATTATAAACTCTCAAGGCTCGGCGCTAGACAAATCAGCTGTAATCGTGTGAATATTCGTGGGTTTTTATAAAATATTTCTTGAAACCAAGATGTCCATAGTCAGAATTAAAAAGCACCCCATACTCACCCGTTAGTATCAAAAATCTTCGTCAAATCGACATTCTTCGTCACTTCCGGAAGTAATAAAAACTCTTGCAACCGCTTCACGCTAATATAAGCTTCCAAAACCATTGTGATCGCCATCGGAAACGATTCCACCATATACATCCGAATACTTTCATAGTATGATATCACTACAAATATTTTTGCAGCAGTAATGACATTTTGGAATGCGATAAACGATAATATACTTATTAGAAGTGCGATTTGTGTGTTAAGCTTCGAACACGAGAACATGGACGCGTACAGCCATGTTAGTTTTTTTATTATGCTCATTTCTTTTCTGTCAAAAAAAATGGTTGTCTATAAAGTCGGTTTACGGGCGATAGTTTAACGTGACAACGTCATAACAAAACATTGATGAAATAATTGCATACTTTTATGAATTAAATTAAGTCCTTCTTTATTAATTATCACTATTTTGTATATACAAAGAAGGAGTGAATCCTCGGATACATAGGCCAATTGAGGGGAAGAGAGATCGATGCGGCGTTAGCGTACAATGAGCGTAACGGGACGATGAGTCGTGGTTTTTTGGGCGTGCAGCCGGCGAACATCAATTTATTTGACGTTGTCACGTCAAAAGGATACCTTAATTTGAGCTATCTTAACTTCTGTACTAACATATGGACCTCAAACCGAAAAAGAGGAAGACAATTTAGAAAGTGGATATGTTACTGTAAAAGCTCGAACTGCAGTAAATCCTAAGATATTCCAGTAAAACCTAAGATCTACCAATTCCTAATGGTAAATGTCCCAAAAGGTAAATCTTAGGATTTACATTAATGGCACGGTAAATGTTGAAAAACAAAAATAATTATTAAGTTAGACTAGCTTATGTAAGCATTATGTTTGTATTTCGTTGTTAAATTCCAAATAGAGAACTACTGATTCAGTTAGATAGATATGATAGAGATTGAGATATTCAGAGATGTACGTTATGTGTTTTTTCAAAATAATTTAAATAAGTTGGTATTAGTTTGTACTTATTACTATCATATTATACCTTTATAATACTATGTACCTGTTTTGTCTAATAGTTCATTAAAGTAAATAATTAAGAATTACTCATTGTTTTATTCCTAAAACCAACATCTACCAGCTGACAGTGGTAAAATCTAGCATATACTGAATTCGGATGGTAAACGCTCGAAAAAATCGTCGTATTTTCAGAAATTCTTACATTTACCAACTCATGTCGGTAAATCCTAAGACTTACACTTAAATCTTAAGATTAACCGTAGTTCGAACTTTTACAGTAACAGATAGACCAAATTAAGTAAACAGTAGGTGGTACATGGAAGAGAGTGGCACAGATTTTTTGTGACCTTTTCAACAATTATCGTTATCAGACAATTTGCATAGAAAACACAATTATATTCCTTTTTTATATAACAACTGGTAGGCAAACTTATAGGAGGTTAACCAGGTTAAGTGATACCGCAGATAGACTCTCATTGCCACAAGGTTCGCAATTGCGTTGCCAGCCTATCTTAACGTAGGTAGGTTTTAATTTTAGTTATAGCCGTTCACTAGTTTTTGAGTTTACATATAGACGCGGCCAGGACACTTTATTTTATAATATGTATAATTGTATACACATACTACATATTATAATTCTGAGGTAATATTTCTAATAAGTAACAATCGGTCCCAACAGATGGCGCTGTAATCAAACAATAGAACATCTAACCTAGTGCTATAAAAACGTTACCTTCTAGCATTCCCAATGATTTTTTCAAAAGCCTTTTCCCAGGCGTACATTTTTATAACCTCTATACTCTGTACGACTTCGTTCATGAGTCGTATTCTGTTGTCTGTGCGCACTGTCATTTTTTCAGTGAATTTACTTGCTATTTTACCTAGGTAACCTGAAAATACAAAAAAATATAATAAATCGCTTTCAATTCTTTTCAATCAGTTTTAACTAATAAAATAGACAACAATTTTAAAAAGAGTTATGTATATATCTAAACTAATATTACGGAGCAAATGTAATTTCAAGAATTATACAATTTAGTTTAAAAAATAATGTTTCCTTTAATGAAAGTTTCCTGCGATCAACTTTAATTTATTGCAATGACTTGAGGGGGGAAATCTCCCCGAATGTAAAATAATAAGGTATATTTTAAGAGTGCAATGTGTGTGTGTTGTGGTTGTAAATGGTGCTGGCTCAGCATTATGCTTATATCTGGAACACGTCTGCTCCACAACGCTGGTTATTCTGCCAGAGACCACAACTGTTAGTTTGTCTCAGACGCAAAAAAAGAAAAAAATATGTAATAATAATACTAAAAATTAACAGTATAAGTCTTGGAAGATTTTTGTAGTTTTTGTGAAGTATATAGTAATTTAAAAAAATATTAATAATTATTATTAGATAAAGATAAATAAATAATTTAGGGCGGATTAAAAACTAGATTTTAATTTAAAAGAAACAAATTTAGAATTACAATCTACTTACTAAACAGTGGTATAAACATAAGCAAAAACCCAACTCCGAATAATGCGGATACGCCAATCTGTGTGTACATTAAGTAAACTATGACAGTTGTCTCTATCGGTATCCTAACTAGATCTATGAGATACAAGCTGGCCATCTGGAACCTCTCGGTGTCTATCGTGAGTAAGTTTATTATGTACCCCGTTAAGCCTTCAGAGGCTTTGCCCCCAGCTGTTAAATTGACTCGAAGTAACTGAAAATAAAGAACATTATACCTTTTTGCATTGATACCTGACATTCAATTGTAAGAGTAATTCGGGACTTAGCGCGAAATATACAGTAGACATAGTCGAAATTCAATACATTTTTGATAAATGACAACAAAAGGCCGGAAACGCACTAAGATTGTCCATGGGCTGCGATAACTCCTTTTTATTTTTAATAATTGCTTTTGGGCATCCCGTATGCTTGTTTGCTTCCCTATCCCATTAAAAGCATACAGGAATAGTTTGTCAAGTACCGACTCTGATTCTTAAACGATAGCGCTTTGCTCACGATGTTTTCTTTACCTTAAGGAAAATGCTTATTGCGAACATACAAAAAAAATCTTTTCTGGCAACGCACTTGCGAGCTTTCTGGCAATGTGAGTGCCCATGGGCAGCGGTATCACTTAACATCAGATGAGCCTCCTGCCCGTTGTCTCCTATCACATAAAAAAAACTATATATAGTTCACTATTTATCCTTTTGACAATCGCCAATCCTATTTTCCATTGCGGGAATAAATAAATAAACATACCTTCCTATATATAACTGAACAACATGATTTTGTGAGTATCATACTGCTTTCCAGTTGGAATAGTAGCATTGCATGTGTTAATACTGAACTTATGAACATTAATCTGAAAAAAGTTGAGGGAATTAGAAAATGTATAGTTATAATTAAACCAGTGTTGGCCTTCGGCGTGTGACTCTAATCCCTGAGGTCGCAGGTTCGATCCCCGGCTGTGCACCAATGGACTTTCTTTCTATTTAACATTTAACATTCGCTCGAACGGTGAAGAAAAATATTGTAAGGAAACCGGCTTGCCTTAAACCCAAAAGGCGTGTGTCAGGCACAGGAGGCCGATCACCTACTTGCCTATTAGATTGACAAATGATCATGAAACAGATACAGAAATATGAGGCCCAGACCTAAAAAGTGTGTTGTGTAGTTGTGTTGCAGTATGTAAAGTAAAGTAAAAAATCATTTAATCATATAGGTAACATAATGTACACTTATGACTCATCAGTAAAGAAATATATATTAATGCTTCTAATTTTACATTTACTGCCAGTTCTCAAATCAAGGGCGTAGAACGGGAGAGAAGAACTGGCAATAAACTCTCCGCCACTCTTTTTAATCGCCATTTTTTTTTACACAGCGTTTGTAAGGAGCTGCAGCCATTACACCATGTTCCACATGACATATCAAGTAATTAATAATAATAACATAATTAAAAAAAAATCTTGTCCTCTATCAGCAGGAGGCATGGTGAAATAGGAGCACGCGCTTACATTCTCGTGGGAACAACACGCAAACACATAGTCGAAATAACCAACATCACCGCATACACGAATTTAAGTACGACCAGTCACCACATGCAGCACCCGTTCACGAGCATGACGCATGGCCAGCCATCGACCCCCTCGCCATATTTTAGGGAGAGAGACAACCCGACGCATGGACGCCGCCACAAGCAATGACATTTAAGCGAGCATGACGATCCTTGAAATGTGAACTTGGCTACATAAGAAAACAATAATAATACTACTTATACTGAAATAATATGGTCACGGGTTAACGGGTTTTTTAATAACACTCGCATGTAATAATTACTACTTGAACTATTTCACTTGGAATAACAATAAAGAAAAAAATAAAGTGCTACACACGAACTAGAAATCGAAAGAGAGGCAGATAAGGAGATGGAAGGACGATATAAATAAAGATAGCGGGTCTAATCGGGGATTGCACCGCTGGAGAACGCCAAGATTGAAATCATTTAGAGGAGGTCTTTATCGAAGGCCAGTTAAACAAACAGTTTGATGTTTTAAATAGAATATATTTAATTAATTAAAGTATGTTCCAGTGCTATCTATGCACATTTGCCATCTATAGGTAGTTCATTGAGCCCTTTACTAATAAAACCATTCGGACGGTTCCAAAATAATGGTAATCTACTGGAGCAAGGTCCGGGGAGTACGATAAAAAAATAAAAATAGCATGAATTAGGCTATGTTCACATGTAACGCGCGTTAACGCGCGTCAACGCGCGATCAAATTTGAAGAGCGTTCAGATGATGAGCGCTAACGCGCGTTGCGAGAGTACTCGTCAGTCTAGTTCGGTAGAACGTAGAAAATGGACGTGGAAGAGGCTATTATTTTGTGGTTATATTATAAAGAAAAATATAGAAAAAGAAAACGTACACATTGGGTTTATCCAATTTTGAAAAAAAAATACAATTTATATTATATTTTTTATACAAATTTGGTATATTCCAACTTGCTGACCTTTTTTCTACTTCATCGATTAGTAAGTCGATGTCAATATCTTCAATTTCACTCATTTTAAAAGCGAGAACAAAATATAATTACGAAAATTAATAAAATTACATGCGATCGCGATGAAAGCGCGCGCTCATCTGAACAGCAAACGGACATTACATTAATATCAAAGCGCGCGTCAACGCGCGATCACCTGCGTCTAGAGACTTTTTCTCTGAGCGCCGCGTTGACGCGCGTTAACGCGCGTTAACGCGCGTACATGTGAACAGTTGTATGAAAAATACCATAGTCTCTAGTCGCGCGATTTGAAAACGCGCGTCAAGTTTTTGCCATCTGAACATAGCCTTATGGTTTTCGAAAAACTAAAAAATTGAATTTGGAATTCCTAACCAAAGATGTTTGAGGTCAATGTGGCCAGTCCGAGAAATCGCCAATTTCATATGTAAGGACCTAATATATATACGTTAGGCATATTTACTTTTTTTTATTGGGCCACAAAATAAGGGTAAAAAATTGACGTACATACAGAAATATGAAAAGCGCCGTCCCTACAACATGCGTACATGACCAACGAAATCAAGTACAAAAACAGTGGTGCATTTAGCATGTGAGTTAAAAGCATTAAAAGCTTTTTAATTATTAACAAAAGACCTTACCCAACAATACCTACGGCATACAAATATGCCTGAACTTCAGTCATTCCGGAGTGTAAAGGAGAAAAATAATTTATTAACCCTTCAAGGCACAATGGTATAGATATCCTGAAAAATGCAAAGATTATAGCTTATTAGTGAGAAATTGTATGAAATTCAAGCAAAAGATAAGAACTGCTTTATACATCGTAAAACATTTGATATTATTAAAATTAAATTTTACTCATATTTATTTCCAATACAATGTGGTGTACAATATTAGTACCGTAATAATAATAATTAAAAAATGATAAATAGAAAATTAAAACAAATTTAATAAGTTTGGCCCCTGTGGCAGTGTACATTTGCTGAGAGCATTTTCTCGCTGTATTGCGATATTTATACGCAAGGGACAAGGAAAATAAAAATTAATTCAAATTTTTGAGTAGAGACTCTTGGGCCGTGGGATTCAAGTGCACAGGCGCTAATTAAAGATTTAAGTTGACGCCTGGTAGATAGTACCGATGACCCTAGACCTGGTGCTTTTCTCGCTCAACGAATAAGTATCGCAACACAGGGAGGAAATGCTGCCAGCATTAAAGGTACACTGCCACAGGGAACAAACTTTTTAAATTTGTTTTAATTTTCTTTTAATTAATTTTTAATTATTACTACTAATTAATACTATTTAATTATTACTTAAGAAAATTCTAAATACTGTATATTTGATTAAATTTAAATAACTCGAAATAAAATATATACTAACCTAAAACATGAGTCTAAAATGGCAAACGTAACGTTATAAAGTAGGAATTTGGGACCGTATATCCTAAAAATGGCTCGTAAAAGATATGCATTCCCGCCAGAATCTGAAATTATACATATTTATACATTAAGCCGTCTGCCGCACAATTTTCCATTCACTGTTTTTTACTTCTGTGTGTGTATGTAACTCATTTGGTCGGTTAATCTTTCGTCCCAAATAAATATAGATGTTTTCTTTTATCAGCTTCAATCAACTTGTCAGTTATTAAACTAAATGTTCATCATTAAACATTTGCATAAGCCATCTGTGATACCACTAAAACCGTGTGTTTAGTAAATAACAATGTGCAAATAATTAGTGCTATATACTAAAATCGCGATTAAAATACAATTAATTAATGAAAAAAGAGCGCAAATATTTGTTCAACAACAGTAGTTTTTATCTAAATGTAAGTGGCCAGTATCATTCCGTACACGGCAGATATAAAAACTTTTTTGTCATTATTTTATTCACATAGTTTTCTGACGCGCTGAGGCGCTAAATAGTTTTTTTCCAGCCCGTTTTCGGTGAATACCATATGACCAAAATAGCTACGGCGTATTGTCCGAGCAGATATAGTTAAAAGACAATACCTTTCCGAGTGACTTCTTCTTTCCATGCTTCTGATAAATGATCACCATTTAATGCAGCTCTATGGTGTGCCAAACACCTGAAAATAAAGATATATAAAAAACTGTGCAGCGCTTCTCTACCCTGAGGTTTAGCGTTTGAACGTTTCCACTTCTGGATTGTTCTATATGAACAAAACCATTTATAAACTTAGAATAAAATGTGCGTAGAAGCTTACAACTTATAAAGCCGACATAAAATAATCATTTGACGGGAATCAAAACTAAATATTATATATTACTGGGGCAGCTCCCCGCGAACTTCGTTTCTCCTTAATGTGATTTTACTTAGCCTACCTTTTTAGTACCTACCAACATGGAACATTTTGCTATGCTACCCCGGAGACTGTTCGATTTTCCGGAATGAAAACTTTTTAGGTTTTTCTGTGAATTTTTTCTATATAAACCTCTGAGCTCAAGTCATAAGTTTTAAATTAACAAATAAAAAATTGGGGTTGATCGTCGAGGGGTGAAAATTAAGGGTTGTATGTATTTTTATATGTTGTATCATAAAAAAAAATTATCCAAAAATAAAAATATAAACAATTTGGGGTGGACACCCCGTATCACTTAGGGGTTAGAAAGATAGATAGTAGCCGATTCTCAGACTTAATGAATATGCATAAAAATTTCATAAGAATCGGTCGAGCCGTTTCGGAGGAGTATGGGAACAAACATTGTGACACGAGAATTTTATATATTAGATTTAGGTTAAAATAATTATAATTACCTGTACAAATCGTTTATAGTAAGCTGACGTTTTCTTCCCAAGTGGAATATATGTCGAGTGTACCTGAAAATACTCAGTCTTTAATAAAATTGTAATACAATGATATGTATTGTAAAAAGAAATATCGAACAATAGTCAATAAAGTAGCCATCAACGTATGGATCTATACAATGGCCCTGGAGCGATCTACCTAACTGATGTAAGGTTGAAGAAACAAGGAACGCTGAAATCAGCAAGCACATAAAAGTTCCCAAGAGGTCACTTTAAAATGTTGATGACCCTGTGTCGTATTTATGTCGCAGCCAACTAGTTTAATTAGCCGTTCAGTCAACAGCCTAGCCTCTTAACAAAACAGCGCCGTTTAACTAGCGGCCTGAAAATTATTCGTAGCCGTAGCATTTGTACAACATTTAATAAACTGGCTGGTTAATGCTTCGGCCTTTCATACCTGTTTCGTTTCGGTTCATGTGACCGACATAAAAAAGCTGAAATATCTGAAATAAGAAATTCTTTATTTAATATATTTAAAAATGTAATATGTGATCTTAGAGTCTCTACACTCTTCCATACAATTTTTCAGAAAGCTTTGGACAATATTTTCGATTTTGCTGTTTACCGACGCTATATTGTTAGGAGTAGGTGGCAGAATGCGGAACTAAATAGAAATGAACAGGATAGGCAAGTAATGTAACGTCATCGATCCAAGTCATTTGCCAAACTGTTTTTTTTTAATGTAGCAAGCAAACGGGCAGGAGGCTCATCTGATGTTACCACTGACCATGGACTCACATTGCCAGAAGGCTCGCAAGTGCGGCATACTACTACATACCACGTTGAAATACTTCAGTGGGCAGCTGGTTCCACATAGTGGTGGTACGCGGCAAAAACTGCCCTCAGTTGTGGAACAAAGTTGGTTGATCAAATGGCTTAACATCATACAGTTTAACGGCGCTGTTTCGTAAAGAGACTAGGCAGTTATTTAAACGGCTAATTAAGTTAGTTCGCTACGACATTCATATAATAGTTTAGATACATCGCAGTAGATATATAAGCAAGAATTATTTGTTGCATATGCCTCCGTCCTTATTCATTAAAACCTAATCAAAGTAACCATTTTAATTAAAATAGTAATGTCTCTTTTTATTACAGTGTAAATACAATTTGGCAGAAAGGGACGAAGAGTGCTTTAGTTTAAAAATAACCTAAACATAAAAATCTAATTTACAGAATTTACAACTTTCGTCACCTACACAGTAAATTAATAAAAAGAAAATTAAAACAAATTTAAAAAGTTTGGTCCCTGTGGCAGTGTACCTTTAACGCTGGCAGCATTTCCTCGCTGTATTACGATACTAATTCGTTAAGGAAAGCACCAGCTCTGGGGTCACCGGTACTATCTACCAGGCACCAACTTAAATCTTTAATCAGCGTCTGTGCACTTGAAGCCCACGACCCAAGAGTCTACTCCAAAGGGAATAAAATCGAAGTTGGTGGAATGACAGATATTTGAGCTGTTCATTATTTTCCGCTTGCTCTGCGGCCGCCCCAGCATTTTTCCTCGTCTGAAGGAGGTGAGACGGGGCTAACGTGTCCACACAAGTAGCATCCCATACCAAAGCCCGTCCCAACTTCTGGGATCAACGACATCCCATCCGGCCGTTTGCCATCGCTTTTTTTTGTTTAAAAATAGTTCTAGTTGAGTGATTTGATTTGTAAGACAAACTTCTGACTTATTTATTTTTATTTTTAATTTACATTTACTTACGAAAAACTTATTTTCGATAGAAGACTGGCTTTTTCTCGTGGGTTTTGTAATCGTTCCGTGTCGTATCGTCCTGAATCCATATTTAATTTATTCCCATAATAATTATAACAACAAGGTTACTGTGAAATAACTGTAAAGAAATACATACTATTACATAAATTAACGATATCTTCCTAAGAAAATTCTACAACATTACAAGTAAAGTGATAAGATTAAACAAAGAGAAGGATAGAAGAAATTAGAAACAATATTAGAAATAAAACCAGCTTTAAGCCTAAAAAGGCGAGGTCATAAATAGCGGAATCGAAAACCATTTCTAGATTAATATCAAGAAAATAAATGAGATATTAGATATCTTATATTATTTAAAAAAAAACCGAGGTTTGGCGTGCACGTGGCACGTGTTATTAGATATCTTGTTTTTTTATAGAACAGGGGGCAAACGGGCAGGAGGCTCATCTGATGTTAAGTGATACCGCCGCTCATGGACACTCAATGACAGAGGGCTCGCGAGTGCGTTGCCGGCCATTTAAGAATTGGTACGCTATTGAAGGACCCTAAGTGGAATTGGTTCGGAAATACTTCAGTGGGCAGCTGGTTCCACAAAGTGGTGGTGCGCGGCAAAAACTGCACACCACCACTTATCTTCAATAACATTTTTAGGTTTACTGAATTTCACAGCTTTTTTATACGTGAGCAAAGAGCCCATGTTTATTAACAAACTCCGTTTATGTCCCTCATATAATATAGGAATTAATAAAAATCAAGTAACAAATTTATTTCAATTCAACAACAGTTACGAATACAGATCAGTAGTATCTGATCTGTGAGTACACTTTTTTATTTAGGTCAAAGTCGTTGACCTCAGTTTATTGACCGTGGGTAAAACGAGCGCATGCCGGTCATAATTAAATATTTACCTTAGAAAATGCCTAGATAAGATATCTTAATAATAGAGTATTTACAATTTTCTTAACCGACATAGTAATAATTAAAAATTAATAAATAGAAAATTTAATTTAATTTAAAAAATTTGCTCCCAGTGTATTGTTTGTTTTCTTAATTAGTCTGCCGAAAAAAGTTTAGTAATATGTAATAACACTGAAAATATTTAGAACTGGCCAGTTAAAAAAATTGATAATGAAAACTTTTTTTGAATTTCAATTTTAGAACTCTTTGGTAACCTAATGTAATATTGCATTCATTTGTCATTTGTTTTTGTGAATTGGCGGCAAATTGGTCAATGATTTATTATGACTTTCATTGTGGGCCTACTCAACTCAAAGCTATGATAGGCTGCATTTCTTAATGAAGCCCCATCTCGTGCCACTATTTACAATTGGTTTAACGAGTTTAAGCGTAAGAGGGACGTCCTTTAACAGGTGACTACTGAAGATAACCTCAGTGCTGTGCGACATATGATAGAGGAAGATAAGAGAGTGACCTATCAACAGATACGGGTATGAGTCAAGTTCAAAAAATATTAAACGAACATTTAGGCGTCAGGAAGCTTTGTACCAGATGGATTCCCCTTACTTTAACCGACGATCAGAAACACCTTCGCATGGACTGGTGTCGCCAATTGCAGATAAGTTCAACGGCGGTAACTCAAATGCTGTATTTTACATCGTCACAGGTGATGAAAGCTGGATATATTGCTACGAACCCAAAACTAAAGATAAAATTCGAGGTATTAGCTTTACGACCCCTGAAGATGCGGTGAAAGCGTACGAAAATACCATAGAAGAGATCCCTAAGGAAGAATGGGCCCACTGCTTTTCTAAGTGGTTCCATCGAATGCGACGTTGTGTAGAGAGGAACGGAGATTACTTCGAAATACAATAAAAGTATTGGCAACTTTCTACAGCCGTTTTTCATTTTCTAAACATTTTCAGTGTTACCTAGGGAATAATTATTTATTTATTTAAGCAGACAGTATCAGCCAATATTTCATAAGCTTTAAAGCATACACACACATGCAGCCCATTGCAATGACCCATGTAAGGGCAATCCAGCCTTCTTGGTATTACCGCCAGCATGCTGTTGGGGCTCCCCCGCACGCGCCTATCAGAGATACAGCTCGCTTGCGCATCGTAGCGTAAAAACAAGGGAGCCCCATGAACATCCTTTTTTTATGTCGCCTTAATAAATCGTCATTTGACTGATACTAATAATCAAAGAAATTAATAGGTTTAGCGCAACCGAATTATTGTTGTCTATGATAATATTTCATAATATTACTGAAATAGAACCATTATTACAAAATGCGATACCTTATTAACATAACGAATAGGAATATTTATATTTTATTATTGTAATTAAATTTATATTTCTCAAACAAATTTCATACAATAGACCGTTTGAATTTATGATTTCACAGTTTTCAATAACTTTATGGCATTACGAATTATAATGATTTTACTGCTGAAATATTAAACAATGTTTAAGAAATAGCTATTGGAATTAACTATACATTTATGTATCTTTATTAATTTAATAGCTATAATTAATATGGGGACAAGGCTTTTGTTGTTATAAAATAAAGAATTAATATTTATGGGAGTTCAGATTTAAGTGTGTAAAGTTATGTTTCTATTTACTTAAAAGGGTTATATTGATTTTTGAAAAGTGTAGTAATAGAAAACCCTATTAGTTTTGTGTGATTTCGTCAATTAAATATTATATATTTGGGTTTTAAGGCCAAAAGGAAGAAAACATATATTATTACGCAATGTTTTCCGGCACCGGCAAGTCTAGACAAGACTCCGGTATGTCCAAATCCAATACATTTTTGACGTACGGAAGTGAGACTTAGCGCTAAGCTTTGTTTCTTAATCTTACCCTTACACCCAAAAACCCACAAGACATGTCACCTGCCCATAAAAATTTTGAATCAGACGAAATGGGTAAATGGTGGGCCTGTAAAATTATTATTAAATATGTTGCAATACCCATTATTTTTATTGTCTAACTACGCTTGTTTCACTTATTTTTCATAACTGACCTGTATGAGGATCATTATTTTTGTCTTTTTATTAGTAAGAAACACTTATTAAGACCCACATAATATCAAAACTGTAGAAGATACAAATAGAAACAAAAATAAATGCTTTTAAAGAGAGTTGATTAATTAAAGCTGGACCTACATCTGGAAGCTTTAAAAGCATCGAGACTTACAACCTAAAAAATAAAATAACATTATTTTTTATAATTACGTATCACGTATTTTAAATATCGATTCGTCACTATGAATCTAAAACTGACAGATGTCAAATGTATTAAATTATTGCCCTAATGTAAACAATCAAATATTTAATTAATTTAAACAATCCTATTTCTTTATTGTTAACTAATTTTAAACATAGATTTTACCCTGCTAAAACACTGCCATTTTAATAATACTAATCAATAGTTATTAATAATAACTATACGGGTTCTATATCTACAAACATATCAAATAAATTATTAGACTGATGTTCAGAAGATTTTAATGTGAAATACACACAAGAACGGCAGGCAAATGAGATTTTCAAGCGTAAGAAAAAATTTGTGATACGGAACATTTCAACAATTTCATCATGAAATTTTAACCTAATATAGCCTACACGAGCTGATTGAAATTCCAGTGAAGTAATATTGCATCTTTCATAAATATTTATAATAAGACATTAGTTATAATTAAAAACATTATACCATCTGTATCTAATTCAAAATATTTACATTAACTGATTTGAACGAGAAGTCTCTACAAATACCGACGAAGTCTCGATGAGTTTTGGTACTCACAGTTGTTTATTAAGAATTGAGACTCACTTATTTTTGTAATTAAAGTCAATTTAGTAGATATGTGACTGTAAAAAGGTTTACCCAAGTGTCCTTAACCCATCGGGCATTAAATTTCATAATTCAAATGTAGCTTTCTTAAGTTCTTTTCATTTAACATGACTCTTGTACCGTTGTTTAATTCATCAAACGGGATAAATAAAGCTATATTGCAACATATTAATGACACAGCATAGAATTCATTTGCTAATATACGTACCTATTAGACAAACGGACTTATATCTTATAACTCAATATAACTTTTGAATAAACACAATAATTCACAAATTATAATCGAAACACATTTCGCACGTCCGCTCTCGTAAATCACAAAACGAAACTGTCTACAATTTTGTAATTCGGCCTTGTCCTTGACTCTGTAACGAATGCTGTACAGTCATTAATAGCAATTTGTCGTAGGATAATAATTTAAATCCTAAAAAATACACTTAATTTAATTAGTTGTTCTAATAATACATTGTTTTTTACCAAAGAAGCAGTTAATTCGAAACATACATGTCATATTCAATAAGTGAGCCTCGATTTTATAAACACAATCGCATAAATAATTGAAATAAAATACTTTAAAAAATATAAGGACGTCTTTATGTAAAATGGCTTATATTATTTAATAGAGGGATTAGAAATGGGAATTTCAACTATATTAATAACATATCATTAATTTTAAAATAACGAAATATTTGTAACAAAGGGAGGTTGATATTAGGACCGGTGTTTGTCCAGTGGTTAGACTCTACTCACCCGACCGTCAACCCTAAGATCGTGAGTCGGAATAACGGCTGAACTGAGATTTTTTATCTGCGAAATTTATACTTGCTCCTTCATCGACGTCATCGACGAAGCGTCATCAGGAACCGACAACCGGCATGCCTTATATATATATATATATATATATATATATATATAGGTATAGGTAACACAACGTACACAATTGAACGTCAATAAAGAAATAGGTACATACTGAATACTAAATGCTTTTTATTTAACATTTACTGCCAGTAAGAACTGGCAATAAAATCTCCGCCACTCTTTTTAATCACCAAGTTTTTTGTTATACCTACACAATGTTTGTAAGGAGCTGCAACCATTACACCATGCTCCACATGACATCTTAAGTAGTTAATTGTTAATTAATAAAAACAAACATTTGTCCTCTATCAGCAGTAGGCATGGTGAAATAGGAGGACGCACTTACATTCTCGTGGGAACAACACGAAAGACAGAAGGGTGTAAACCT